AAGGGCCAGGAGTAGTTGAGCCAAGTGTGATGGCTCACACTTGTGATCCTAGCACTAAGGACGCTGAATCAGGAGGATCACCAAAAATTGAAGGACAATTTGGGCTACATAATGAGTTCAATGCCAGCTTGAATATATAGCAAGGCCCATTCTCAAAAAAAGCAAGCAAGCAAGCAAGCAAGCAAGAAAGAAAGAAATGTAAAAGTGTGTAAGTGAAACCATTCAATTAAGTTTTTGCTTCCTCATTCCCTCATCAGTGCAGACTGAGAAGTCTGTCCTTAGAACACTGACCTTTTCCTCACACTGGTGTTCCTCAATTCATGAATCAATCTGTCTCCCCTTCCTCTCCTTTTTGTCTCGGTCTCTCTGTCTGACTATCTCTATCTCTGTTTTGAGATTTGTTTCAACGCATAATAACCACTTGCCTTTAAACTGAGTTTCCTATACATTAGTGAGATAACTTCCTTTAAACCCTCCACCCACATATAATCTGTTTAAAAGTCATCCCTGTGCTCTGCTAATCCATATGAACTCAAAGAAGAAAGCAGGTTGCCCTTGTAGGGAGGACCACAAATTTGAGCACAGTTGGGAAATTTTAGCCAGGTGCTCTCTCTAAATACAATAAAAAGGGCTGGAGGTTTAGCTCAGTTGTGAAGCACTTCTCCAGCACGGGCAGAACCTAGGTTCTACCCCAGTAAAACTCAGGCCCAAAAAACAGTAACAAGAGAAAAATCACTGTATTTTTAACTTCTGGATAATACGGTTCCATTAAAAGCACTCTCGGTCAATTTCATGACCTCAGCATTTATTTCTCCCTAAACTGTCATCCTCATTCACTACACAAAGCTTTGACCTAAATCTTGAAGATTTAGATTAGGTCCCTTGGGGGCCCTGTTTTCCAATGTGCATGGGCACAGGGTCCCTAGTCATGTACTGAAACACTTAGGGACCTTCAGGGATATGGAGATTCCTGCTCTGTTTTCATTGGGGGTGACATCACTGTCTTTACAACATTGTTCTAATTCTGGATTGTGTGTGTGTGTGTGTGTGTGTGTGTGTGT